ATTTTAAACCACTGTGCTCAGGCTATAAGTTATTGATTACCTGAGAGAATATTGCCGTTTCAGAACTTACTTGCAAAGCAAAATTTAAAATTTCTGATATCCTGATAATAGTGTGACCACAATAATATAGGAACCAAGTATACTCAAGAGTCACATAAATTCTTGCATCTGATGTCAATTTATAATCAAAACGACTTTTTGAATTTCCAGATTATTTTTAAATTGGCTGAAAACTGAATGCATATTTTTTCCTAGCTTTGGATGCACATGCAAGTGCATACAAATACATTGCTATCTCAACTACACAAACGCAAGAGATTTGTATGCAAGGTAATGGGTTTCTCAACTACATGTACAGTATGCTTCTGCAGCACAGGACATACATGTCAATGTACTTTGGTAGCTTGCTGTGCAGCAGAAAAAGTCGAGTCAAAATTTAAACAGCTTCTTTTTTTGTTTGTTTTTTTTCCCAATTCAATGGAAATCCTTCATTGGAAAATTGGCTTGTAACAATGGTTCTGGCTAAAACTGGATTTCTTGAGTGGTTACTCTTTAAGCGTGAAGAAGTTTTTGCCACAATCCCAAACTGGTCAAACTGATCCAGATCTAAGAAAAATGCCATCGTCGTGTTTGTTGATCCGGTAAGTCCAAATTAAATACTTCAAGTTTGAAGTACATGTAACAGTATCTCCAACACAAGGTGAACTAATGACAACATCTCACTACAATCTGAAGGAGAAAATTCATTTTCAAGTCAAAGTCAGTGATGCACAGCCAGAGATATCATACATGCAAGAGATCAATGGAAAGAGTATTCACTATAATTGTCATTACATGTATACTGTAGCATAGTCATATTTTACCTTCATTTGTCACCTTTCATTTTTTTTAATGGGGGCACCTTTTGATGCTAAAAATAAAATGGATGCATGTAAAGCCTTTTTCTTAAAACAAAAACACAGGATAAAATGTCAATTTTCAAAAAGATTCAAAGTCATTCTTTTTATAAAACATGTAACAATTGTTTATGTTAACAGTTTTTTATAATACGGCAATGCTTTTACAGAAGGGCATGTACATGTGTTTATCTTCTTTGTCAACATATTTACCGTTGTTGGTCGTTTATTTCCATCCAACAGTTTGAGGGTGTTGCTGAGAGAGTGACTCTTTGATTGAAGTAGGTCACGCAAGGGAACAGTTGCCGATCCTAGTAACCTACATGTGCATACGATCAAAAACAAAATGACCTTCAGTTAATTACTGAGTGGGATCAGCAAATAATACATCCTGGATACCATGGGAAAAACAATCACAAGGCAACATCTCAACAACCCATACAGCTTGTGGTTTCAAAATGAAACCTCATCTTAATACAGCAATTTAAAAATGGTGTAATAAAGTGGTTTGTAAAAAAGGTCCCCAAAACAGCATAGTGTTTGCCTTGTGACAAATAAAATGTTGTTTTTCTTATATATCATATTTTTCATGTTGCATGTTTTTGCCTTGTCTAACATGCGATTTGACCTGTACAGCATGGGGATCGAGTCACTTGATTCAAATGAACTTAAATAATAAAAGATCTAAGGCACACCTTTGAAACCTTAATGACTTGAACTGTTGACCACACCAAGAAATACTTGTATGCAAATAAATGTAGGCGTTTATTGGTTAGTACATTTGTATATGGTGCACATACCAATACGCTGAGGTGGGGAAAGCTGCCTTTTCCCTGAATTAAGAAGACAGTTTCATTTAGTAGGCAAGTTTACCATGTTGTGAGGACAAAAGCTTGTCCCCATAGCATTTTTGGTCCCCATTACCTTTTGGGTCGCTGTGCATAACATCTAATGTACATGCATAATGGCTGTATCATGGGTCTGATCCTTCACATACATGTATGTTTCGCTACATGGACAGCTGTCAACCCCCAGGCCGAAATAGACGCGGCATCCGCAGAAGAACCTGACGTCCTGAAAGATCGTTGGACAAAGTCAAGCACATCAAGTGAAGAAAATCTCTGACTTGGGCTGATGGAGGATGTCCTCTCTGACTGGAAGGACCTGCTGCCGTCGTACCAGGAGTCTCGTCAGTCTTTGAAGACATAGTTGGTGAGGCCAGAACGGGACGATTAGGAGGATCCGACACAGCTACACCTGTACGTTCTATCTTGGATAGGACCTGCGAGATGAGGGAGATTGGAGGGAAAGCATATGCCAGAGGGCCCGACTAGTTGATCTGTAGGGCATCTGTTGCCCATGCCTGTGGGTGAGGGAACCTCAAGCAGAACGTCGGAAGGTGGGCATTGTCAGTCAGAGTCTCTAAGTGCCTGAGAGAGTGTGTCTGCTGTGCTGGTGCTGATTTTCGCTACATGGACAGCTTGAGGGCTGATCCCCTGATCGATCGTCCACATGAAGAGCTGCTACGCAAGGGCAGAGGAGTTGAGGGGGGCGAGTGCCGCCCTGACGATTGATGTAGGCCACTGTCATTGAGGCATTGCTCTGTACTTCAGCGGAACAACCTACTAAGTGCTGTCAGAATTGACGAACAGCTTTGAACACCGCTTAGAGTTCTAACATGTTGATGTTTGCCTCGAGAGGCAGTGTCCTAGACCCCAGAGGAGCAGAGTGGAGAAAGAGAGGCTCTCCATCTGTCGTTACTGTCACATCCGGACTTGGAGGGACGAAAGTAAGGCTAACCCACATACAAAAAGAGGCATTGTACTATGTTCAAAGTGGCCATTTGTATCTTTGAGTTTGAGGACTACAGGCATATCATTACATACATTGGAAATAAATGTCAATCCGCATACATTGCAAAAATAAAAAAATGCAGATAAAGAGCGTCCGAATATGGAAGATCGCTCCATGATTTGAGAATCCAGATATCCTATTTCATTCAGCATCCAAGTATTATAATATTTCCGTTTATTCACTAGAACAAAGTGCATGAGCAGATAAAATGGTAATATTGACAAAAACTTCAATTACGCGGAACGCAGTCAGAAAGGCAACCACGGCAAGCCATTCACAAATGTGAGTACCGACAGTAGCCACACTTTTACCAGACCTCGTAACATTCACAATATGCACACTTTGGACACGGCCACTACAAATGAACTCATGTCCGCATAGTATGTGGGGTGTGGCCAGGCCTAACAGAAGAATATATGGAGAGCCCGGAATTATTAGATGAAAGGAACGTGTAGAATTTGTGACAATGTGAAGTTCGGTGAACTCGGATGCCCAAGGCATGGATACTGAATTGAATGGTGTGATCACCAGTCAGAGATAGAAGGGAGCCTGTCCGGAGATCACAGTTGATTGTTACTGCACCCAAGTACCTGATGACGAAGTTTCAGATGTCGGAGGGCTCAATGGGGCATTGAGTCTGCGGGTAGGGCATTGACATTTACCACAGGCATTAATGAACAAAAAAAACGGTGTGGAGAATAAACACACGGTAGGCTGATCCTATCGCGTTTTATTCACCAGGATAACTCCAGGGAATGGTTGAGAGATGCCTGCACAGCAGATTTCCTGTTCCCCGCCTAGCTGGCCCCCAGCATGGGAGTCTCAGGCGCTATCCCGCGGTCTAATGTCTAGTCTAGCAGTAGGCCTATGAGCTATTATTCGAGCCGCGGTCAGGGTTATGCATGCATTACCCAGACTCGCATCCATGATCCATGTATAGGGGGCTGTACGAGCAAATGACGTAAGGTGGCCTGCAAGAGTTTACATGTATAATGCACAGAAAAAAGGGGCAAAAAAGAACAACAAAAATACAAAAACAGTACTCCACCAGTAGGATATTTTTACTGTGGTTTTTTTTTTCAACTTTGCCAACGGCAACCACAGACATGTAGCAAGGTCACCAGGCCTTATCTGCCAAGTTTGCTGGGTCACAGACTGCACAAAGCCCGGCTCTGTGTGGCCACGATTCATGCGGGGTATTTGGATCCCATCTAACATAATAACCAGGCACCCAGCACTTGCCTTACCCACGCGACAACACAAACTACCAAATGACAATCGGCCACAGCGAAGCGTGCAGCGCCTGCCAAGTTCACAAGGTCTAGGCTTGCTACAGGTGGGCACCGTGGCTCATGTTCCCGCTCCTCAGTAGTCCATGCATGCCCAGCAGCAATGCCCAGCCTCCACTTGTACATAGAATGTGCTTCACAAGTTTTTATTTCATCAAATAACCAGTCAATATTACCCGTAAAATTTACCCGTTTTCGTACGCACATAATTTTCTTGCATATTTCTAAGTTTTGTTTTTTGCAAGTCGCATTCAAACCCCCTTTCTGAATGTACTGATAAATCTAACATAGCCCCCTTCTAACTAAATGTTTCCCATAATTATAAAATAAAGAGACACAAGAAAAACACAAGATTCAAGTGTGATAAACCTTGAAACAGTTCTTGCACTTGAACACCTGCTGTGTCTTGAAAGCCGTGTCGGCCGGGGGAAGTTGTCATCAGCTGTCCATTGAATGGACGAAGTCTTGACCTTCTTCTTGGCAGGCCTCGCTCCCGAGTGTGGGTGCTGGGGTGCTGTGCACGTGTTCAGGGCCCAGCAGGGCCGTAAACAATGGCGTGCACACCAATGTCAATGGCCTGTATTCATCACGCTCTGGGCCCACACAAAGTGCGTTGCATAGACCCTGACAGCGGAGTCAGCGACACTCCATGAAGATTACCCAGGGTATTCAATCAAAGACAAAGGGGGTGTTCTGATAAATACAAATTTCTGGGTATCGTGGGGTCGACCAACTCTCCTAGATTTCCATTCAATGCAAACCTCCCAGTAACTACAGGTGTACACTAAATAAACATTGCAGGTGTGGTATGTGGCTACCGCAGACATCCGGAAATTAGATGTTTCTCCAGGCGCGGCGTCCGCAGTCATCCGTCACGAAGGGGTTAAGAAATCACTCATTATTAGTAAACAGGAATTAAGTCAATTCACAAATGCAAAACGTTACGGAATTCAAAACTCTGAAAATGCCGTAAAGACACGTCTGTAAACAATAGGTGCTGAGGAAAGAAGGACAAACATGGTGGCGGGACCACAGTGCATTTTGGAGGGTCAAGGAGCAATATGCATAATTAAGTCTTTTCAGAGAATTGTAATAGGCACATGAGAAATTTGCATATGTAGGCTGAGCAGGGGTATGTGAACGCAGGAGACTTTAAATTTTATTTATGAAAATGGTTTTTCTTCCCATGAAAAATGATGCCATCTCATTACCATTTCAGAAGCATAATGGTCTGACCGGCCATTTCAAAGCTAGTGTAGAGTGAGGCCTATTTTCATGAACAAAAACTATATTTACAGTAATAATTTCTTCTGTACCCTTAGTACTGACAAGGTAAAAGTGTGGTCGTGATACATGATCATGCATGCACATTGTGGACACTTATACAAATAAGTACATCTTGACTACCGGCAGTTTGACTGCAGAAACTTTCACTGCTCCAACAGTTTTTTCACGAATCCACAGTGCTACACGTACATGTACATTGTCGCAGGGGCACATTACCTTAAAGTAAATTTGGTGATTAATCTTGGCAGTGCAAAACTCATCTTTCACAGGAAAGCAGAGGTTGATCTACATGTGCAGTAGAAATTTATCAAGGCAGGGGTCCGGACCCTCTTTTATTTTTTACATCTGATCTTTGACAGGCCAATACAAAGGTAATACATTACACTATTTCATGTAGCAGTAATAACCTTTGAGGGATGACATCTCTTATGATTGCTTGGTGTTTGTTTTTCTTGGTTCTTTTTTGTATTTTGGGAAGGGGGGAATGGAAACCCCGTCCAGATCAGTACCTCGAAAATGCACACGTCTGCAGAACGACCCTACATGTACGTGTGTACTGTCCACTCACCCAAAACACCCTGTTGTCCATAGGTTTTATGCAAGACAAGATTTAGCCTTTCAAGATGCACCATGTTTTTCCTGATTTTTCTAAAAGCAGTTCACTCAAAACATTAAACAAGTCTGTGGAAAATCAAAGCTGCAGTAAATATTATTATACACCCAAATCAGTCAATCGTATAAAAAACTTTTTAAAAGTGTAGTCTACTTTTAATGTACCGGTAGCAATAGACTGGCTAATACACTTGCATGCATAAACATATATTCTAAGACATACATACATACATTCTACATGCATCCAGTATACCCATACATGTACATTTACATACAT